CATCTGAGGAAGTAGGATCTGACTCAGGGAAGCTCATGCTGAAATAAATGTTAGTCGTAAAGCTGCTGTATTTTTGTTGTTTTCCCAGTCAAAGTCAGTGCTCTTTTCCTGGGATTTATAATAGCAGACAGAAGTTACTTCATGAGAAGTTACTTTAGCTGTTATCAGAGTTGCTTTATGCTAGCTAAACAAATTATCTCAAGGATAGTAGATGCATGTTAAGATACCGAGAAAGAGAAATGCATGATCAGAGTTGTTGCAACAAAAAAAGAAGAAGCAAATTTAATGAGCCGTTAGTAATTTGAATTGACCTATACTAAGTAATGAAACAAGAATACATCTTGTAGATCATACCTCGAGCCCATCCTTTGTATGGCACCAGGAGGTGAACCTGGGAAGCTAGGGCTTCATATAACTAATGAAGCAGAAGAGCTTGGCCAGGGTGGCTAAAGAGCAATGAGGAAAAGCAGAAGAGTCTTTTACATTTCAGTTTAGGAAAAAAGACAACTCAAAGGGGATATGATGAAAGTTTATTATTTATTCCATTTATATCCCGCCCTCCCCGCAAACAGGCTTAGGGCGGCTTACATTTATCCGTACAAGGTACCATAAATCCACATAAAAACATATAAAACATTTTAAAAACAATCAAATAATAAGAGTGCTAACAGTAGTAACATTCTTTGTTGATAAGATGATATACTATATGATGTAGCAAACAAGATTCCCAACTCAATGATCTTCCGGCACCATACAGTGGTATAACTCAATCTCCAAACTGGGGCCAGCCCACCACCACAAACATTGGTGGTAGTGGTGAGGCGGCTCCTAGTTGAAAGCCTGGTGGAAGAGCCTGGTCTTGCAGGCCCTGCGGAACTGTAAAAGATAAAAGTTTATACAATTATGCATGGGGCAGAGAGAGTGGATAGAGAGAACTCCCTCCCGTCCCAGTACTAGAACTTGGGGGCACCCAATGAAGTTGATGGGCAGTAGATTCAAGACAAAAGCAAATAACATACTCAATGAATTATTAAAATGTGGAATTCACTACTAGAAGATGCAGAGATGGCCACAAGCATAGATGGCTTCCGAAGAGGTTTAGACAAATTCATTGACCATCAACAGTCAGTAGCCAGAGTGACTAAAGGGAACATTTACATTCAGAGGCGATAAACCTCTGAATAGCAGTGCCAGAAGGCAACATCAGGGGTAGGCACTGCCCTCTACCCCCTGTTCTGGCCCTCCAGAGTAACTGGTTGGTCACTGAGAGACAGGATGCTGGACCAGATGAGCCACTGGTCTGATCCAGTAGGACTCTGATGTTCTTAAGCAGACCTCTTAAGAAATAACTTGTAATTGATGACAAATATCAGGACTGAGAGAGGTACTGGGAAAAACCTTGTTTGTTCTGTTGCTACACGGGAGTCAGAAGGCTGGAAGGAACAAATAACAAATGAATTTTTATTTAGTTTCTCAGAACAGCTAGGAAATTTACTTTGAATGTTGAGTGACTTAACAATTTTAACTCTGTTTATACTGGGCACAGTCCAGCGGAAATGTCACTGTTGCAAAATGTTTTTACAGAGGCCAAGAGCAACTGAGAGCCAGGATTGTGAACTTTTACCTTAGAAGGCTAACATTTAACCTAAGAGCCTTAGCTTTATTGTTTCTCTCTTCAGGAGTCACAGGTCTACCAGGTTCTTGCATAGGACTCCTGATGCCTTCTGTCTTGATCCCAGTGTGTGCTTTGCACTTTTCCTTTTCTCTTAGAATAATAACTATGTGTGATCCCAGCCACCAGACTTCACTAGTCTGCCTCAACAGAAAGCTCTGAGATTCTTGGATTTTTAAAACCAGCCTCTCTGGTTGGCAAATCCTGTCTGACCTATGAACCTCAGTTTAGCAGGTTTTTCCCCCTTTTACTGCCCCCATTCCAGTTTTGTAAAGTTCCATGGGTTCTGATTGGCTGTTACTTGTTGATCCCTCCTTCCAACCAGACATTAGGAGATTTGTTGTGGACTGGAAGAGGCAGAAAGATTCTCTCTTTCTTTGCTTACTGAGACAATTAGTCATCTTGTTTCTGAGAACTTTATGTATTTCAATCTTTTCCAGTTACATTAAACTCAAAACATTTTAGAGGCCTAATGTGATAGATGGGTGTTATGAGTGTTATGTGGGCAGGCAAAAGAGCTAGGTTCAAATAACCAGTAAGCCAGGAGGAAAGGCTCTCCATGTCTTGAACCATATTGGGAAGCCTTATGCAGCTGGATGGTTTGTCATCTAGTGCAAAACTGAAAGACCAGATGTAGGAAGGCTATTTTGGGGGAAGCTGTCTTGAAAACATAGTTTGGCATCCAGAATACCTCAGGTTTCCATTAAATCATCCTCTGTTGGGCAATGGTGCACGAAAGGGACTGGTGGAGAAAGCTCTAAAAAGCACACGTGCACTGGCTCCAGTACTTGCCATTTGTTCCCTAATGCCAATCATTTTTCTGGAAGCAGCTATGAGAGGAGCTGGCCCCTTTTAAATATGTCCTTTTAAAATAGACCTGCTTATTTTGAAGGATCTGTTACTTCATATTCTTTAACAGGATTGTATTCTTGGAACAGGATGCACAAAGGCATGGAAATTGGATTTGAGGAAACAAGTAGGAGGAGATGCCTAGAATATTGCAGTAACATTCTCCAAATTCAAAATGTGTTAATGTTTTTAAAATGCATGCTTAAGGTGATCAGCAGATGGCACCTATAGTTTTCACTTCCCACTTTGGGTCTGTGCTGGAGATACTGTTGATTGTGGTTTGGGGGATAGTTTCTTCCATGTTTGTTTGTGCCCCAAGGCTTTTAGAGATACTGAAGCAAAGTTCTCCAACACAGAGAAGAAATTACAAAATTTGTGAAGACCTTAAAAGAATCCCATTTCAACTTTCAGAAAATTATTTTAAGTCCCACATAGCAAATAGGAACTTATTTCTGCACATAAGTGGTACAAGAATAAAGATCTCAGCAGAAGAGAAAAGCCAACATTTTCTATCAATACTAACAGATCAATGTTGAAGAAGGTAGATAGTATCCAGGCAGCTTCATTGAAAAATGGCAGCTGTTGTAATTATATTTGGACCAGCGTTCAGGCTAATAAGTACATTCAAAAGGATTATTCTATCACATTTTTATCCTGCTCCCTCCCAAGTAGCTTAGAGTACCATAAGTAATTCTTTCTCCATTTTTACAAAACCCGGTGACGTAGATCAGAGAGGGTGATTGGCCTAAGGTCAGTAAGCTTTTGTTGTCCCTGGTTGTAGTTCAGCTCTGTAACTGCTATACCATGCTGGTTCTTTTTCTTCATTTCAATATATTAGCTATAAAAGTTTTCCTTCAACGTTAAACTGTAAGTTCCACATCGTCCTTTTATGTTGTAACAAAGTTTGAGTCCAGTGGCACCTTTAAGACCAATGACATTTAATCAAGGTATATATTTATTTATTTATTTATTTTTGGGATTTATATCCCGCCCTACCCAGACGGCCCAGGGCGGCAAGAAGTGTGCATACACACGAAAGCTTATACCTTGAATAAAACCTTACTGGTCTTAAGGGTGCCACTGGATTCAAACTTGGTTATTCTGAATCCAATGTATATTATGTATGTATAGTTATACTAACTGTATTACTCAATCCTTTAAAAATTTCCTCGGCGTTACAAACCACCCCAAAGATTTAGGAGCCAGACTTATTTTTCAGCCTAAAAGGTTTTATATTTTAATAATCATACTTTTTCATTATTGCTGCCACAAAACCTAATCCTAAGCTAGGGTTGCCATCCTCCAGGTGGCACCTGGAAATCTCCCGCTATTACATTTGTTCTCCAGATGGCCAGGATCAGTTCCCCTGGAGAAAATGGCTGCCGTGGAGGGTGGGCTCTATGGTATTCTATCCGGCTGAGGTCCCTCCCCTCCCCAAGCCCTGCCTTCCCCAGGCTGCACCCCCAAGATCTCCAGGTATTTCCCAACCTAGAGCTGGTAACCCTGTCCAAACTCTTCACAGTTTCTTCTTACTACTATTAAAACCATAGCTGATAAAGCATAAATAAATATGGGTTAACTTGTTAGTTATCACAACGAAAAGCTAACGTCTATTCCCTCACCTAAACAAGCTTTGTACTTTTACTGAGAATCACCAAGAGCGGAGGCGGAGGAGGCAGAGATTGGATTTATACCCTGCTCTTCACTCAGTCTCAGAGCATCTTACAACCAGTGTTCCCTCTAAACTGAGTTTTAGCCTCCAGCTCACAGATTTTTGTCTTGGCTCAGGAAGGAGGGCTCCAGAGCAAACTAATTTATGCAGTAGCCAAATCGCTCGCTCACAACTTTAATGCCAGTAGCTCACAAAGTAGAATTTTTGCTCACAAAACTCCACAGCTTAGAGGGAGCATTGCTTACAACCTCTTTTCCCTTCCCCTCCCCGCAGCAGACACCCTGTAAGGTAGGTGGGGCTGAGAGAGCTCTTTCAAGGACAGCTCTGAAAAACTTACAACTGACCCAAGGTCACACCAGCAGATGCATGTGGAGGAGTGGGGAATCAAACCCGGTTCTCCCAGATTAGAGTCCACGCACTTAACCACTACATCGAACTAGCTCTCACTTACAATAAATGGCTGCTGAAGATATTAGGCTTCCCAGTGAAATGTCTAGGCACCATGACACCATGGAATCTGGGACTTCTCAAGCCTGGATTCTTAGATTACAAAGTAAATATTTTTTTAAAGTGAGAAGCTCCACATTGAGCTTTCAAGGTTATCCAGCTGCAACTGTGGTGGTAGACAAGGGATGCTGGAGAACCAGGGCCTTCCTTTAGTGGCCAAAGCCTCCCTCATTTTTTGGGGGGGGGATGTTGAGGTTGGCAGTGCCTCATGTGTGCAAGAAAATCTCTGCCAAGGTATTGAGCGAAGTTCTAAATTTGCAATTCATGGGACTTAAAAAGCGGCCTTTCTTTGATTGGCAGGATCTGGGCAAGGAGGGCAGCAGCAGCAGACCTCTGCTTTTGCAGCCGTCGAAGCACCAAGCAAGCCACTGCAGCAGAAATGGAACCCTGCAGCAGGTAAGGACTCTTGCAGTTGAGAGGGTTGGTAGCAAACAGAAGAATGGAACAGTTGCAGAGATGAGGGTGCTAAAGACCCATGCGTCTTCCCTTATCTGTGTCCCGTGTGGGGTTTGGACTGGAAAAGCATTTGATGAAGATGTCCCAGTTTGGAATTGGGGACCAGTCATAGTCCAAAAGTCATATGATAAAGCATTTTTGTCCTCTCCTGTTGCTCTTCCAATCACTGTTCATCCTAATCTGACACCAACTGATGTGGTTTGGCCCACCATATTGAATCAGTGGATGCCTACTGATGAAGCCAAGCACTCTTGTTGCGAGGTGCTGCTGTAGTTCTGTTTGTCACTACTGATGCCAAAGTTAATGCTGGAGGAAGGAGCGGCCTAGTGGCACTTGTGACAAAGGACAAATCTAGAAGCTTGAGAAATAGTCCTGTAGGAGAGTGCAACAATGCCCCATTGAAATGAATGGAAGGTGTGCAAGTCACAAGAGAGTTTCCTGGAGGGTTGTGCCCCCAGGCTTTGAACAGGAAGCAAGGAAGTTCGATAGCTAGCAAATAAAAAGTTTGTCAAAGAATGCAAGAATCATCATAAGATGTATGTATGTGACGTTACTCGGTTGCTGCCAGATGTCTCCCATGGTACATTGCCTGCCTCATCTTGAGGCAATTGGATCATTTTGGACACTTCTAATTTCAACCCTAGCCTGTTAACTTATTTGCAGTAGATGCTTATAATTTAAAAGCCTGTTGTTTCCAGGGAAAGTGCAGTGATATATAGCTTAAAAATAAATAGGGGAGGGTGGGGAAGCTGATATGAAAATTGAGGCTACAAAATAATATTCTAGACTCTGTCAGGTTATAGTGGAGCTTCATTAATAATCTGGTCCTTTTTCTAGTTTGCCAAAATACTCATAGAAATTTTGTGCATACATCATGAATGTCTAAATGCAGAAATGTCTTGTGTTGGCAATGGGTAGTCAGCCTAATCTCTTTGTGCTGAATGTCTCGTTAAGGCATTAATCTCCAGTAGAGATAGGAGGACATTCTGGAACCTTCAAGTTGCCCTTACAGCTGGAGGAGGAGGCTGAAGGGCCAGCTTGTGAGCAGTGACCTCTACTCTTTGGGGGGCTTCTTCCTACAATGGCCCTGCCTCATGTCAGGGTAGCAGCATGTGGTTCAGACTTCCTGATTCTAGATGGGTAGATTCAGGCCCATAGCCACTGGGGCGGGGCTTCTGAGGTGATGCTCCCTGCCGAATTTGCCCTGCCCCTCCCGGTCCCCTCCCCTCCCCTCCCTCCCTGCCCCTGGGAACGGGGAGGGAGGCGAAGAAAAGCCAGCAGTGCTGCTGCTTCAGACGTTCTCTGCCTCGAGTCCCAGCACGGGAGCGACCATCCAGCAGATGAGCAGGCTGGCAAGTGCTGCAAGCCTGGTGGAGGAGTGGCGGTCAGCTTTATGGGCTTAGCGGCTGGGTGGTTGCAGCACGCAAGACGAGGGGAGCGCAGCACCGTACTCGTTCCAGCACAGAGGAGGCAGGCAGGGCAGCAGGCGAGCTATCTGGCCTTTTTTTTGGGGGGGTGTTTTTTACTTTCACACCATGCAAATGGAGGCTTTGAAATCAAGCAGCGGACTCGTCGGAATCAAATTAAAATGGAGCCCGAGGCTGGAAAGGATACAGACTGTGCGCTCAAATCCCAAAGCCAACCTTCTGGGTGATGTCAGAAGTGACGTAGGGACGTGCCCCCTCCGTGCCCCCCACCCCCGAAGATTTCCTGGCTACGGGCCTGTTTTGATGGTAGCCTAGAGCCAACAAGCCTAACTTCTTTTTTTTTCCTGTCTTGAGTTCTGTTTCTGCTGTTTGCCCTTCCTGTTCTTTGTGTCTGATGAGGGACATGGGTACCCTACACAGAATGGGGAGGCTGAAGCCTCTTAGGTTTCTCACAGGGATCCCTCCTCCCCTTGGCCTTTCCCCCAGAACTGTTTCAATGATGAGGAATACACAGTGGCTGCTCAAGCCTCCAGCAGAGCGAGCGATCTGGCTTGTTCCCAGTTAGCCATTTCCTACGAGCTGGGAAATGCAGCAGCGCTTTCTTCACAGCAGAGCTGAATGGGGGGCAGCCGGGCTGGCTAAGGCACCTTTTCGAGTCTGGTGGGGAGTGAAATGGCTCTTCTGCAGAGTTTGGGCTGCCAGCTGGCCTGCAGGGCGCTCATCAGCTGACGGTGGCCTTGAGCAGCTCTTCTCCCACAAGCCTAGACAGACACAGCATACTAAGGACTGTCCCTTCAGTGGGGTGGATGAGAGTAGTTTTTCCTTGGAGCAGCAGCCAGGTCATTTTGCCTTCAGAGAAGCCAGGTTGTCACCCTCAGATAACCTCCTAAGAATGAAACAGCCAGTAGGCATGTGGGGGGAAATCGGACTGCAGTGGCACCTACTGGCTGTTTGAGGCATAGCAGCTCTCCAGTTCATACTGTTGCTGGTAGGAGGAAGACAGCCGTTTCTGTGGAAAGGTGGTTGAGAAAGTCATGGCTTGACCTCTGAATCCAGAGAGGAGGAGGAGATGGCTCAGATGCAAGAGGAGGTGGACTTTCTTCCTTTACAAGGATGATTCCCAGGTTGGCTGCTTCTTCCCAATAGAAGCCTGAACTCTCAGTACATACATTGAAGCCAGCAACCAAAACTTCTATCTACACCCAAGTCTTGACAGGTATGTCAAGGCAGGGTGGTCTACTTTTCAAGGACAAGTACAGCACACTTAGATAAAGCTCTGCTGTCTGCCAGCTGAGGTCACGATGTGTCTTAAGACACTTTTGGCGGATGTCCCAGTGGCAGCGCTTTCTTTAGCTGAAATTTCTTCAGAAAGTAGGGGCGAGTGAATGGGACAAGCACATGGAGAGACAGCACTGAAGAAAAATTGAGTTGACTGTGGTGTCCTGTAGAGCCTTTGTTCAGAGCGCCGAAGAATAGATTCTTTTGAACTATGGTGCTGGAAAAGACTCTTGAGAGTCCCTTGGACTGCAAAAAGATCATATCAGTCAATCCTAAAAGAAATCAACCCTGGTTGTTCCCTGGAAGGCCTGATAATGAAACTGAAACTCAAATACTTTGGCCACCAAATGAGAAGAGAGCACTCACTGGAGAAGACCCTGATGCTGGGAAAGATTGAAGGTCAAAGAAGACGGGGACGGCAAAGGATGAGATGGTTAGACAGTGTCATAGATGCAACGAACATGAAGTTGAGCAAACTTCAGAGGACGGCGGAAGACCGGAAGGCCTGGCGTGATCTGGTCCATGGGGTCGCGAAGAGTCGGACTCGACTGTGCGACTGAACAACAACAACAACAGTGCTGGCAAGGGCAATGTCCCTGTGGGAAGAACCAGCACAGACTGAAACCACTTAGGTGGTGGTGGCTTTAATGAAACTTTGTTATCAGTAGCATTCAGGGTGGACACTGCTGGATGAAATCATATTTGGCTTCAGTGTGATGGTATTCCAACATGTCCAGAAGGAACATTTGGCTCTGTCATTGGGGTGTTGACCTGGGGCACTGTTGAGGCTTGTGAGCACCAAGCTTTTGAAAGGGCTCCTCAGGGCAGTGCTTATGGAAACAAGGGAAGATGTCGACTTCTATGCATGTGTGTGTGTAGAACACACAGATATATGTGGAGAGGAAAGTCTGTAGACAAAAGCTTCCCTTCTTGGTGACGAGCACAGAACCACACTGGCAGCCCTTAACCCTTTTCTTCCGCCTTGGGAGTGTCTTGTTGGCATTAGTCATACTCTTGGGGGGCAGGCTAAAGTTCCCTGCTAAATCCAGTGCTGGCCAGTTGTACTGAGCTGTTGATTTTTAGGACCCCAGGTCTGGGATATTAAAAACAACCCACTCTGTCTTTGAGACCAAAAGTTGAGAATTGAGCCCTAGCTTTGTGTCCCTAAAGCTGTCCCTCTCCCATCCTGAAGTAGATTAAAGATCCAAGTGGCCACCAATGAAAACAAGCCTGTGCTATTTCAGGGCTTATCTGATCCTTTCTGGACAATCCAGACTACACATCAATGTCTCCAAGAATACAGCCTTGCAGTGAACAGAGATGAGTGCTTTATATCCAGCTCACTGCTGGACTTGCATAGGTTCTACTCAGGAGTGTCAAACATAAGGCCTGGGGGTCAGAACCGGCCCATCCAGGGCTCTTACGTGGCCCATGAGCAACTGATGGAAAGGAAGGGAGTGCTGGGGAGGGGGGAGTGGACAGAGCCACTCCATTGTGGCTTCAGCAAAGCAGAACAACCTCATCTACAGCAGTCAAGTATCGTGGGAGCATCTGCCCAGCACTGCACTGTTGGCCCACTTATGTGGGTTTTCCACTGCCACCCCCTCCCAGTCCATGAGGTCTTGCAGTAAGGATACACCAACTCGGTGCTTACCAGCTGCTGTCCTTCGTATAGTTTCTGTCTCTGGTACCAGGCATTATGTTTTATGGCGTGAATGTCCCGGCCCGACAAGATGACATTTATGTCAGATCTGGCCCTCGTACCAAATGGGTTTGACACCTCTGTAATACATGTTCCTGGACGGACACACATAAGTATTGCCTGTTCTAATCAGAAGAGAGAGGGAAGTGAGGGAAGAAGGTGATGGAGTTGATAAAATAGGTTTGAGCACTGCAGTTCCAGGGCGTAGACACACTACTTTATTTTAGTAAAACAAAACGGGACTTCTGTTTTGTTGAATGTCATGGCAGGACAACACCTTGACTCTAGTACAGTTAATGGCTATAGTAATGTCATGGTGGGATATTGTAAACGAACCCTGGTTCTGTACAAAACAATTCTAAAAGTTCCTTCCAGTCCTTCAAAACAAAACCACTGTGTAGTTTAAATAACGCTGATTGCCTCAGATAAAATCAAGAGAGTCATCAGCCAGTGGCTGGAAGAGGGTAGTCTATTGCATTGGGTACATTTGGCCACATTGGTAAGGTCAAATTAATACAGGTGTCAGTGGGGGT